ATCCTCCCAATTCCCACCCGTTTCGGTCCCTTAAGGGGTGAAGCCTCTGCAGCACTTGGGAGCAGAGCAGCCAGGAACAGCTCAGGAAACCAGAATGAGCGGTTTGGGAACTTTCCGGCTCGGTACACACCAAGCCAGGACTCATCCACCACCGCTCGGGGCTCAGGACTCACTGCCCGGGCTCCAAGAGGCCCTCTGGGGCACAGCGGTGGGACTGCGCTGGAGACCCCCTCTGCTGATCCACCTCTGGGTGCAGCTATACCCAAAGCATCAATCACCCTGTATCACAGAGGAGATGGAAGAGCTCCCAGGAGACAGAGATGGGGAGGGGGACCATGATGATCCCGTAGGATCCAGCTGAACATCACACTAGGAGGGAAGGAATAATCAAACTGCAGCCAGACAGGAGCATAACAAAGTGTTTAATGTTCCTTTTCTCAAAGGCAGCACACGTTGTGCTCGGACACTTCCCAACAACAGCGGCTGCAAAAGATCCACTCAGGAAACACAACGAAACGCTGCAGAGAATCAAACTACATCACATGAGAAACTTAAACCCAAACGAAGTACAATCTATTCCGAGCCTGTCGAACATTCATTTCTTTTCACAAACCATGCTCTGAAGGAGCATTCCAAGAACAGAGTGTCCCAGGACTCGGTGCTGCAGGACACCGTGTCCATCACAGAATGTGCCTGAGGCCAGCTAAGAGCCACAACCACAGCACAGCTTGGCTTTCCCTGCTGAAGTGCTTTTGGATGTTCTAATGGTACAAGGCACTATTAGAAAAGTAACACAACTGCAGGCAACACTGATCCCCGCTGACAGGATGACATTAGAAGGAAATCCCAGCCATCCCAATGGGAAAAACCTGGCACAGAGTCACAGGGAGTCACTCACCATGTGGAGTCACTGTGAACTGGTGTGCAGAGTATCCGAGAGCAAATCTGTCCCAGCATAGCAGAGAGCAAGGTGACTATGGATCTCTCCTATCTCCTGCTCCTCAGATTCAAGGAAACTTGGCTTCAAACAGCATCACAAGTAAGACCTGTCCTAGTGCTAAACCAGTCATTCCCAAAGAGAAAACACCAAACCAGGCCGTGTGCCGAAGCTCCTGATTAGGAATGTCTCTTCCACAGACTGGCACAGCTTCAACTCCAACTTTGCTCTCTGTTGGATGGAGGCAAGTGCATCTAATGCAGAGTGGAGGAAAAACTATCCCTGAAGGAAAAGCTGCTCTGTGCCCTCCACTGCTGCTCTGTGCCCTCCACTGCTGCTCTCCCTGTGGCACAGCCAAGTTGCACATCCCTAAAGCTGCGCCACTTCAAGCTCCACAGCATGCTCGAGGAGCACTGTCTCAGCAGAGCACAGTCTTCTGTTCTTTCTTTTACCCCTGTGACAACCAAAGCAACTCCCCCCCTCTTCCAGAGCTGCAATTCCCACTGCTGAGATCCTCCTCACCAGTTTCCTCCTATTTTGTGCAGTTTAACAGCAGCTTTTTGATATGAAGATGCAAAGTCTTGTAAGGTTTAGACAGGATGGATGAGGGCTGATTTCCTATGGAAGCCTAAGTCAGCACAGAAAACCTGCTGTGGCCAGTCCTGTCCCTGCTATCCATGAGAGCATTCCTCCGTAACAGCAGCCAAAAGACAGTAACAATCCCAACCAGTTTGACTCTGTTTCTCATTGGAAGGATGTCACGAGGGTGAGTTCACCACTGGCTGTGATGTCTTTCCAAGAAGAGATGAACAAGAAACAAAGGCAAAATATTGTTAAGAAGACTTTGGAGGAATCTCAGAGGAGCCAGAATAACACAGGAAAATGCCACTAAGACTGAGGCACTTTGAGACACTTCACATTCTTTGTGTTATCTCCTCTAAGCAAAACTGTGCATTTTTGGAGTATACATGCAGCTCATAGTCCCTCTTCAAAGCTCCCTCTCGTCTGCCACCACCACTGCTCCGTGGATCTAACTTTAAATAGCTCTCAAAGTCACCTGCAAACAGCCACTTCACACTCCACGATCTCAAACCACAGCAGACACCAAGTTATTTGGCCTGGGCTTGCAAGGAATCTCTCTAGGTACCTCAGACACGAGTGAAACAGCTGCTCCTTGAAACCAGCCTCTCACAACAGCACAGGGTAAGTGCGCAGTGCTGATATGCTCAAAATGGCCAGAAGTTGCATCAGCAGAATTGGTCACTCTGGAATGTGGCCAGCATTGAGGATTAACACCCTGGATACTGGAAAAGAGGCATGGAAAGAGGCATGGAAAGTTCTGCGTGAAGAGAAGAGCCATCAAACCGTCCTCTAAATAACAGCAGTGCTCTGCCCCATCCACCACTCACCAGATGACCAACATGCTTTTGTGTCACAGCAGCTCTTCCTCAGAGCCTGCCTTCCACAACTGGTCCAACCACACCCTGCCTGGAAAAAGAGAGTAAAAGAGGAGGAAGAAAGTAATTTCCCTCTTTTCCCCATTACGTAAATCAGAGCTGCTGGGTCGTTGTTTTGTTGGGTTTTTAAAGCATTCCTAAAACCTTTGAAACTCCAGAAAAACACTTCTCCAGCTCTAATTCCATCACCCTTTCCTTGTCAAACACCACGCTGAGCCAAGCAATTCCCATCTGACACTCAGTCCTCTCACTTCAGCTTATCTTGTCAAAACACTTTCATCTATTAGCACCACAGCAGGAGTGAGATTCAGAAAGGTTTTGAGCAGAAATACTTGCTGGAAACATTCAAAGGTGGTATTAAATAATAATAATAATAATAATAAAGACATTTACTAGTTTCCACAGGACTTTTCCTTCATCATTCCCACTTAGATTAAATATTTCTAGAACCCTATACAGCATTTGGTTACTCCCTGCATTGAAGCAAAGAACCCTGAAGTAAGAACTGGGCTTTTGTGCGTTGAATCCCCTTAGAGAGGGGTTCTTAATCTGCAGATTGAGTTGCAGAAGTGTGCCTAGGCAATGCAGAACACCAAGAGATGTGTGGCAAGATGTGCAAGAAGAGAAATGGGCACTTTGGATACAATCAAGCTCATCAGAGTTAAAGGAAGAGCAAGTCTGGGTGTGATCCACCAGAAGATGCTGTGTTTCAGGCGGCTGATTCAAGCGGCAAGCAAGCAGCAGCAGCTGGCAGCAAAGAAAAGGAAAACTGAGGTTCTGGGACACTAACAAGGTCTGAACTGATTTCACAACAGCAACACAGAGCTGCCTGTGCTACACCAAGGAAAGAACACGGTGCAAAGAGCAGGTCAGAGAGCAAGGAAACACAGCTGTGCGGATGCGGCCATAGGAAGTGGTGTTAGGTTGGATAAGCAGCACCATCTACACCAGGATCCCAATGTGTGATCCAGGGCAAGCACAGGAATCCACCCACTTTAGCAGGTGTGTCTTCACAGCACAGTGAAGGTAGTTTTCTGCTTGCGTCCCCCCCTCTCGCCACTAAATGTGTGCTGATATTAGAGGAGACAGAGGAAAAAAGTGCTCAGTTGAACAGCTTCCAGCAAAGCAGTTCAGTGTCTTGCGCAGAACTGCAGCTGCCTTCTCCTTCTGCTTGGTCCCAGGAGGTGATTTCCTACAGGCTGGTGGAGCTCTGGGAACCCTGACCTTCCCAACATGCTCATGACACAGCAAAGCCCATCAGTTTCCCCTCCTCCAGGAGAACACCAGGTAGCCACAGACATGCCCCTTTCAGCGTTCCTTCCTTGCAATGCTATCGGCGGTCTTCAGGGAACACAGGAGGCTGCAGAACAGCTCATACCAGAAGAAGGTGAGGCCAGTGGAGACAGCAGCCTTCAGCAAGCTGGGTGAGAGGCCCTTAAAGAATCCACGGGGGCCCTCCTCACGCATGATCTGCCTTATGCAGTCCAGGAGACCGCTGTACATCCGCACCTGTGAGAGACATGGCAAAAAGGTTAAACAAGGGAACTCCAGGACAACTTTACCTGGAAAAGAACAGAGAGATTCCCCAAATATCCCACAGAAACGGGATGTGCAGCCTGGAGATGCCTTTCTGGCTGTTATAATGAATTGAAAGTTTCAGAGAGCCAGTTTGTAGCAAGTGGGGTAGAGGAAAACCAAGTGTTTTGCATCAGCAGTGGCTTATACAGATCATTCTAATCGAGCGGCCCTGAAATCTTTATGCTGCAACCAGATGTATTACTCATGGTACACGTTTGTGAAGTGGTTATTTCAGATTGTGCTGCTGTTTGCCATCCCCTTCACTCTCTAAAAAGGGACTTTTCCAGTTTCCTGCCAGAAAGAAAACACAAGCCTCAAAAATAGCTATCTGCATGTTATCGTGTCACAGGGAAGTTTTAACATCCTCTGACACATCAGTGCTAAGAACAAGTTCTGAACCTCACTGGAAAAGCATCCAATGCAATGGGTTAAGACTTCAAGTTCTTACCACAGAGTTTCTTGAGGTACAGACTGATTTGCTGCTCAGATCCAAGCAATGTGAAGGGAAAAAAAAGTCATTTTCCACATGTCATGGAAAGAAAGAGGTAGTTCCTTGAAGGATCTGTATTTGTCTTACAATTTTCACCTCGAAATGCACTGTAAGACAAATAGAGCACAGAGGATGGCGCTAAAGAACACCAGAAGTACTTCATTTGCTTTGAATTTCAGGATGTTCTGGTACATAAGACATATGCTGAACACTTGGTGCCCATGCCTTGCGTCAAAATACTAATTGCAGAAGAGGATCCTGGCAGCCAGGCGATCCCAGCCTAAAGCCAGTGTTATCCTCTGCTAGGAATCTGGTCCTGAATCAGAACTACCAAGCTGCAACTAGTAAGTAAGTTTATCAAACCCCTGCTTCCTGCTTCAGTCATCCGCAGCTTCAAGACAGCCAACGGATGGAGGTGGGTGAGAGCAAGTTCCCTGGGAGCTCCCAACCCAATACAAACACAAGAGGTGAAGCATCGCTGGTGGACTGGCTCTGGCTTGTCTCACAAATCCATATTCCTAAAAATCAGAGAATTCCAACATTTCTCACCTGCCCAAAGGCTGCCCGGGCCTGCTCAAAGCCACCCACTTGCAGTCGCTTCTTAAACAAGTCAAACGGGTAAGTGAGGGTTTTGCTGATGATTCCAGCACAGCTGCCACAAACAAGGTTTTTAATGTTGCCTGAGAAGCAGAAAGGGGAGATAGGGAGGGAAAAAGAGGATTAGCAGGGATTCTGCATTAAACATCATGAGACTGAAGTTAAAATCACCTTCCACAAGAAGTAAGGTCAAAAAGGCCCTTTAAGGTTCCATCACCTCTTCTGCACTTTGGGCCACAGAACCTCTATCTGTATTTTCTACATCTGGTTTGCAATGTCCTCTGGAGCCAGAGTGTAACAGCTCACCTTGGTTCACTGCACTGATCGTGTTGTGCTCTGCCAAGTGCTTAGCACAAAACTCCCCCGTCACCAGAGAACCTGCAACTATAGTGGATGGAAAAGTTTCCCTGCCCCCCCAGTAAAAGCCCAGCCACTGGAAACCTTGCATCCCTGATTGCTCTTGTTCTGGATTGCAGTAAGTCACAAGCTGACACTGCCTGATGACTTCAGAGGCTTGTGGGAAATGAGTTTTGTGGCATTATACTTCTTCCCAACAAACGTGAGTTCCCAGCACACAACCACCATCAGCCTCTGTCATCTAAAACTAAACACCGAAGAAATTCCATCGAGGAATAAGAACATGCTCATGCTGCATACACTCTGTCTCAGGGAGGCACCAATATCTGGAACTATCAAGGTGACAGGTCACATCGGGATGAGGTTCTTTTATAAGGGAGCTAGAAATCATCATAAAAATATCAACTCAAGAGCTTGGTGGTTTTAAATGAGGCTGAATGAATCCTCTTCTGGAACAGCTGTGCTGGGAACTCAGGCAGATTTCCTCAGGAAATCCAAGAGTCCCACCCCCACAGCACTAATGGAACAGAGAAGGGTTATGCCTGCACTGTCTTCCCACAGGAGCAGTGACACAGCTCAAGAAGGAGTATCTGAGTCTGTGACACTTTACTTTGCTGTCCATCCACACTTCCATCATGGTGATTCCATAACAGGAGCTGTCTGTAAACTTCACTGTACTTACTTTTGCACTATCTGTGCAGGGGTAAGAATGAGAGATAGGAAATCGAGACACTTTTGTACTGAAAAGGTTGATGGGACAGAAAACAGCTTATGGCAGTCTCCCAAAGTAGCATTCGTCCTTTCTCTCCCCCCACATCACAGACATCACTGTCCCAAGAGCCTACCTCCTTTCTTCCCTTCAGCTGGAATCACCCATTCAGAAAACTGTTGCAGGATGTTGTAGAAGGAGAACTGGAGACCAGCATTTGGGAAGACAGCAATGATTGTGGGGGTCAAACCTCTATAGAACGTCCGAGGTCCTTCTGTCTGGTACATCGTGACCACTGCGTGGCGAAGGTTTTGGTAGATCTAGGCAATAAAGAAGAGGCTGATTCTCTGGTGGAACAGGCTTAAAACAGCAAACCAAAGGGCAGGTTATTTCCCAGTGCCCAAAACACAACTGACTGTTTTTCAGCACAAAGCAATGAACAACGTGATTTTGCACATCTTCACACAGTATTCTCAGCTCAGCCCTTGTGACTCTTGTAAGCTGAAAACCTAAACCTAAACTTAAACCTGAGCTACGAAAGACTAACTTAGTGATTGTGAGCTCTGCACTGAAAGGCCTGGGCTGACACTGTTTCCCACATCCAAGCTGGGCTGAGGGGTGGAAACAAGGCACAGAGCTGAGGCCTGAGACCACTTGCCTCACAGACATGAGTATTTTTCTCTTAACAGCTCTGCTTGCTCCTGCAACAGAATTCATGTAATATGTATTGTGATTCTACTGCAGGGTAATGGCTCTGATACAAACACATATAAGCCTAGTTATGACAGATCTAATTAGCAGGGAGACCAATTCTTGCATAAATAAGAACATGAAATATAAGTGAAAGGTGACTGGTTTCAGGTATCATCCCCATCATTATCTAAACATGACTGTGTGCAAGTGGAAGGTTTCAAAACCACAATGTTCAACAGACTGAGGAGTGTATTTGTAAATGGCCAGCAGCCCAGATGAAAATTGACTTATCCTGGTAAGGACAGTCTCTCCTTTCTGGATCCTCTGTTAGGATTCAAACACAAATCAGGAGCAGCAAAACATAGTTAAGAAACCTGTGTCAACAGCACAGAGGATAACTTGGCAACAGTGCAAACATTGCCCAATAACAGCACCTGCTCTCTTATGCTAACCCCAGCCTGTTACACACTTTTCAGACCTCTTTTTTCATGCACATGGGCTACTGCTACTGCTATGGATGATAACCCCAAAGACATGCAGATCCCTAAGCCATACCTTAGGCTCACCCTGAGCAGCTAAGCGGGTGCGTAGAGTGTCGAGAGGCTGCACTGCAACAGTGGCTGTGCAGGCAGAGAGCCCGCCGCAGGTGAAGTGCACCAAGGAGTCGCGGGTGCCGTACGAGGGGATGTTGTGCGCCAGTTGTGTCATGCTCTCAAACACCGTGAACTGACAGGACAAGCACACACAGGTCAAGGAGTCAATGCTTATCACTGACACGGATCTCCCATTCCTCTCCCATTTCACCAGAACAGCTCCACCCACCGCCTGTAACCACCTTCTCCCTCTGTCCTTCAAAAGTCCTTCCCAACTGGCACACCGAGCATGCATGTGCTCAAAGAATAACCTGTAAGAATCACCAAGCAGCCAGGGAATGCTCAGGATAGTCTGAGCTCTGACACTTCTGCTGTGTCCTTTTAATTAACAGCTCCTTTTAATGCTCTATGTATCCTGAACAGCATTTGCTGTACTACAGATAGGCTGTCCATTCCTCTTTCAGCCACTGCTTACAAAACACATCGTTAGTATTTACAAATTAAGCATAACAATGCCGTGTAAAACACCATCATCAGCCTCGTTTTCTCCTTACAAGCTGTTAGGAAGACAGGAACAAAAGCAACACACTACACAGGTTTGGAACAGGAACAGCTAAGCCAAGTGTCAGGAACAAACAGAGCCTGCCTGTGACAGCAGATGCAGACGGAACTCAGTCTGCTCTAGCTGTGCTCCAGCTTCAGCAAGCTCAGGAATATTAACTTAGGAATTATCCATCAGCAAGATACAGCTGCACATCTTTGAGGCTTGCATCAGTACAGTGTAAACCTGCACCTTCCTGCATCTGCCCGTGCGGCCAGCCTGAAGAGGAGCAAAGTCAAGTCCTGTGTCTGTGCACTGGGCCCAGGCGATGTGTGGTCACCTCACCTGAACAGCTCCGTAGCCAACTGAAAGCAGCTGGGCAGGAACGTGGCCCTTCCAGAAGGCTACCAAGCCCTCTTCCTGGAAGATGCGCCGTGCAGCCTGCAGGATGCCATGATACTTCGCCCCTGGGTTTCTGGAGGAGAGCTGCTCGATCTGAAGCTGGAGGGAAACAGAGAGAGCATTCCCTCTAATTCCACATCACCTTTCAACAAGTTCAAGCGTCCTCGTCAGGAATTCACAGCCCCGAGAGCCAAGCCATGCCTTCCCACGGGATCACACCTAGAAAAGGCTGGGATGTTATTTAAGTAGGGCTCTAAAAGAGTAAGACCACACGTGCAACACAAGGAGGATGATGGTGAAAGTCAGATAGCGAAGATGACACATAAAGACAGAGAAAGAAAACAAACTATAAACCGCACAAGGTCCCATTCAAACGCTTAAGTTATATAAATAGCAGCAGTGGACACAGGATAGCCCCGCTACCTTGCATAACCTGTGTACCATGAGGTGAGGGCTGAGGAGCAGCTTTAGTGCTCCCTGGTCGCACAAGTGACCTATTCGCCCAGGACGCGCTCAGCTCCGCTCCGTAACAGGCTCTTCCACGCCGCGAGAAGGTACCTGGAAGCGGATCTTGATGACATCCAAGGGACTGATAAGGAGCCGGGTGACGAAGCCAGATGCTGATC